CAAATAATTTTTCAAAGAAAATGAGTAGCTCATAACCACTGGAGAGACAAAGTACTAGAGCAAGGAGCAGAAAGTGGAAAACACTGAAAAACATCTGCTACTGGAATTATCAGACAGATTACAAAATAACTATTACCGGTACTCTCTGAGATAAGGCAAGCCTGAAAATAAATGCAGATAAAAAGAAACTGAAGAGTGACCATGCAGACTTTGTTAGACAATCAAACAGAGCAACAATTAAAATGTTCTATCATAATTACAGTTAAAACTAAATGGGTGGTTTTAACAGCATATCACCATAGCTGGAGAAAGAAAGATACTGAAATGGAGAGTACTTCAGAAAAACTTGTCTAGAAAGAAACACAGAGAAGCAAAGATATAACACACAAAAGGCACAGAAGATAGGTGGAAAAGATGGCACGCCTCTAATTAAACTTCCAGGGGTAAAAAAGCATGAGTATGGTGGAAATGTTTAAGGAGATAATAGCTGAGAATTTTCCAAAACGGGGAAAACACCAATCACAGATTCAAAAAGTCTAATGACTCCCAAGCAGGGTGAACCTTGAATTTTGTAAGTATATTACCTATTGTAAAAATTTTTTACTTGAATGGCTTTTTAAAAAAATTTAACCAAACGGGGAAACAAGCTTAGGAAACAAATCAAGAAGAATGTTATACAGTATATGAGGCTTTTTAAGTTAAATTTACTTCGGTGAGTTAACTTGTGCATCAGGTAGTATACCAAAAGTATATGGGGATTCCTGCGACTCAAAAAGTGCTCGGTGCACCTTTGACTTCCAGGGAAATGGTGAAATGCTGAACAGCAGCCCAGCCTCTGCGATTCAGAACCCAGAAATAACTCTCGGAAGTCACTTGGAGAGGAAGAAAAGGCTGGGGGAGTAGACCCTGAAAACTGGATCTGACGGTAAAACTGAAACCTACAGAGAAACTGGAGATGGAACGCAACGCGGAGACAGGAAGCGGCGACCAGCGCCTGCTCCCGCCCCGGGCCTGGGTGGTGCAGGAGAAAGGCAGGAGGTCTACGGAGAAGAGGGACTGCAGCACCCGCCGGGACTCGGTCCAGCACCCGCCGCGACTCGGACCAGCACCCGCCGCGACTCGGACCAGCACCCGCCGGGACCCGGGGTGCGCGTGGCCGCTGCCGCGTTTCCGCAGCGCCGAGAGAGGGCCCCGCACTCGAGCGCCCCGCCTGCGCTGCCCTCGCCCCGGCCCTGCCGCGTCCAGCCCAGTCCGGGCCGGCCTTACCCGCCTGCAGGAGCAGGGCGCGTCCTGACTCGACGCGGCCCAGACTCTTAGAGAACAGACCAAAGCCCTACGTTCGGAATCACACAGAAACTTCTTCGTGTTGATTTGGTTTGGGTTTGGGTGTTTTGTGTTGCTGTGCGTTTTTTTGCTAATTTTGTGGTTTTGTTTTCTGTCAGCATGTGCGCCATTTTTAATTTTGCTTTATTTTGGGTTTTTTCCCTTTTCTCTTCTTTCCCTCTCACTGCTTCGCCGGTTTACAGAAGCTTGCAGGATTTTTCTTTGTCCTTCTTCTTAATTCTTTCTCTTTTCTTTTTCTAATTTTTCCTCTTTTCTCTTTTAATTTTTCTCCTTTTAATTTTTTCTCTCCTATTTTTACCCTTATTCCTTCCACTTTTTCTGTCATCAACCATTTATCCTCAGTTTTTTCTCTTACCCTGACCTAATTATGTAAACACCCTTCTACTAGGCAGTCAAACCCTTTGTACCACTTCCCTTTCTTCTCATATCACAGAATGTAAGGTTTCAAACTCTTCCTCCTGATTCCCCCATTCCCAAACCCTTTATCTTTCATAGTACAACAGTAAGGCTTTGTTAATCTTTCAGTAGTCAATTCTGGGGCCTGGGGATTTAGCTCAGCGGCACAGCGCCTGCCTGGCAAGCACAAGGTCATGAGTTCGATTCCTGGTACTGGGGGAAAAAAAATACTCAATTCTGTAAAGTTACTGTCAAGTTCTTTTCTACCACTAATGGAGATATCCCACTTAGTACCTATTACATGTAAGTCAATACCTGGGTTGTCTTCATGCTTACATCATAATTGTGAATGTTTTTCCTAGGATTAAGGGTAGTACATAATTGGTTTTGTTTTTTTTTTTTTGGTCTTTTTGTCTTTATGAGACAGGATCTCACTATGCAGTTCAGGCTGGCCTTGAGCTCACTTTGTAGCCCAGGTTGGCCTTGAACTCACAATGATCCTCCTGCCTCAGCCTCCCGAGTGCTGGGATTACAGGAATGCACCACCACACCCAGCTATAAGTTTGTCTTGGGTGACACTACTGTAGCTCATTCACTTGATATTAACAAGGTTGCATAATTGTCACTATTTCTCTATAAACTAACACTTAGATTACCTCTAGAGTAGATTCCCAAAGAACTAGCTTGGGTCAGCTAAACTACATTCTCCTCTCCCAAATTAACCAAGGTGGTCAGATCTTGGGCTGTGCCAAGGATTACAGTTAGCCATACAAAGTATATCACTGCAAGGCAACTAAAGACATCTCTATGCTAGCAACAAAGTCTTTAGGCTATGAGCATCCACAAACCTCAGCACAAAACACAACAAACAAACAAAACAAGAGGGATGTCAGAAAACAAGGCAACAAAATGCCTCCCAAAACTCCCAACTCCCCCAAAGACAGTCCAGGGGGCGCTGGGGCAGAACAGGATAAGCCATACACCTGAATTACTCAAAAGGATGACAGCGGGGGTTAGAAAGCAGATCAAACGGTGCTCAGCAGGGTCACAGGAGATATAATTAAACAGGTCATGGAAATGATAACCAGAAAGACACAGAAGATCCCAGAAAACACTAATAAAAAGCTAGTTACTAAACAAAATGTTATAAAATGTGAACTGACCGATTTACCAACAACGTAGAGTCCATGAAAAGGTTTAATCAGAAATTCAGGAGAATCAAAATCATATTGAAAGTACAGGCAGTAGAAGCAATCAACAGGGGGACAGAATTTCAGACTAAAAGATAAGACGTGCTCAAAGACCAACTATTCAGAGACACCTTGAAAATAACAGAACATGAAAAATGGATTCAACAGCAGCCAGATGACACAAAGAAAACTAATCTAAGAATACAGTCATACCTTAGTTCACAAATTTAATTCATTCCACAATTCTGGAAAAATGGCCACATTCTTGTTCATGTGGGACAAAAGGCCATGGTCATATTCATAACCTGATGCAAACAAAATTTTTGCCAAATGCTTCTGCTCATGAACCAAATTGTTCACAGACAAAAGCATTCATGAATGGAGGTACCACAGTAATTGGAATAACTAAAAAACCAGAAAAAAACACAAATGGTATTTTAAAAAAAAAAAACTGTTCACAGAAATAATGGCAGACAACTTCCCAAATATAGGGAAAGAAATAAATATACAGATAGGTGAGGCATATAGAACCCCATAATTTGCAAAGCACATTTTAGTGAGAAGTAGAAATCAATCAAAATGTGTAACAGTGGTACACTTTAAGAGAACCCTGATGTTTCCCTCTGGTATTCACCTTCAGGACGATCCCCAGTGATTCTTACCCCCAGGCACTTCATCCCTCATGTAGGCCTTCCACATGTTCTGTCAGGAGTAGTTTGTGTGACCAGCAGAACACGGTAGAAGTGATGGTGTATGACTTCCAAAGTGTATTAATTATTGTTACTCTCCTACTAACCTGTTTTGAAACCCTGTTTTATTGTTATTTTTACTTTTTTCTGCTTAAAATTTTTAAAAAGATAGATCATAAAGTAAATTTTACTTCCACACTGTTCTTTGGTTACCTGCCCTTGGGGAGGCGGACTACTACGTTATAAAAACATTCAAGCAGCCCTACAAAGGGGAACACGAAGAAGCATGGCCTCCCGTCATCAGCTGGCACCAATTGCGTCACGTCAGTGCGCCATGTCAGTGTGCACGTCAGCGCGTCACGTCAGCGCACTATGTGAGCGCGCCATGTCTGCGCGCCATCTTGGAGGAGATCTGCCAGGCCCAGTCAAACCCTGGCGAACATGTTGGGTGCGGCCTCGTGGGAGACCGCCAGCCATTACCAGCCTGTTAAGCTACCCTCTAATTCCTTACAGAAACTGTGAGAGATAATAAATGTTTATTATTTTCATCCACTAAATTGATAGTGATTTGTTATATAGAATAGACAACTAATGGATTTCTGTTCTTTTTCGAGAAAAAAAAAGTGTATAGATAAATACCAGAAAACACTTCTTTCTGTAATCTGCTAATAATAAATACCACACACCAATTATAGAAAGGAAACTTCTTTTTAGTTTCTGAAACGTTATTTTTTGTGCTCTGTTTCATCTAGTGGTGCTTCTGTTGTTTTTCTTGTAGATGGGTAGAGAAAATAATATACGTGGAATAAAATTAATAATTTTGGTGCTTGAATCTAGTCACTTGATAAAACCAAGCCTCTGTAACAAACACATAACAAATAATATCACTACACTCCCAAAAAAGTCAATGCAGTAAGTTATAAAATATAAACTAAATTGGACTCTGCCAAAATAATGCATTTGTATTAGCTCTGAAATCTTTTAAATTTCCATAATATGATGCTAATGAACAATTTTTATTTAAATACGTTTATTCATATATTGCCTGTCCATAATCATGTTTTCAAGTAAATTTTAAATTTATAAATATTAAATTTGCTGGATCTTATAAGGGAGTATTGCTATCTAGCTTCCACTACTGAATTTTCCCTTAAATTAAGAAAAAAACTCATTCTTTTAATGATCTAGTAACATAGTCTAATGATACTATTAACCTAAAACTAAAATTGAATGTCACAACATTCCTCCATATTAAAATTGAACTCTGCCATTATATCATTTAATTCAATCTCTGTATTCACTCTGAACACAAAGAACATAATTGTGGATTTTTTCTTGCAAAGTATCCTGAAGATATAGTGTGATCATCCTGTACACAATCCAAGATTAAGTTGATAATAAAAAGGAATTAGACCAAATATTAGCATAGACTGTCTCAGTAGGTATTTCCTTTATAAAAGTAGCATACTATATTTGCAGTGGCCTATTAGGATTTTGATCATCTCTGTGGCTTTGATGCCAATTGAAAGTCATTAAGTGATTCAACAAACATCTACCGTACTGAGCTCTGATTACGTGCCAGGTATTATGCTAGCGCTCGAGAAGCAGCAATAAACAAGTCACACCAGGTTCCTGCTTTCCTGATCCTCTTATGGCAATGACTGGCAGGCAGGACACAAAGCAGTAAAAAACAAGTGAACAGGATCGCTTCCGATGGGGATAAAGGTTGTGAAGAAAATCCACAGGGAGGTGCGCAGGGGAAAACTTACAGGAGCTGGTCAAGGGAGGCTTCTCTGAGTGGAGGGGAGACACAGCCTGAAACTTCAGGCCAGAGAAATATCTAGTGCACACTGAGTCATTTCTGAAGGTGATAAATCAGCAGTTTTATATCCGAAAACCCAGCACAGTGTGACGCCGTGGTCAAGTATGTTTCTGTCCTTTATCCATTGTTTCCTCCGTGGTTCTCAAGACCTGGTCCTAGCGCAGATATGATGATCACGTGTGGAGGGTCAGGTGTGTGAATCCAGCTTCGCTTGCTCCTCAGAGCAGCACTGACAATGATGAATCATTCTTTTTTTCTTTTTTGGTTATCTTTTTCTTTTAAAAATAATTCACTTTGTTTTGCACATCACAGGATAGATTTCTAGTGTGAGAACAAGGGTACAGTAAGAACAAAAATGTTTCCCCTCCCCAGTCATCTTTACTTTCACCAATACAGGAAATCCTTATGAAACATTAGCAAGTGACTAACAGGTATCAAACCACTGAATCTAAAAGTTAACGCATAATCTGTGATGGCAGAATTATCCTCAAGGAAAGGTTTTAATTTTTTGAATACAGAAGAGTTTAAGAGAATCATTTTTGAACAAACAAAAACCCCTGATTCCCGGTTTTAAGGTATAGATGAGTACTACACTGGCAGCTGCAGAGATCTGAAACTCTCTAAAATTTCTTTAGAAAATAGGATTGGAATTCCTTCTTTTAAAATGATGATCCTGTGGAATGCTTTTACTTCTATTTCACCTAACATTATAACAGTAAAACATTGACAGGAATGTTGATGACAGCTTAACAATGCTGGATTCAGGACATTTACAGGTACACTTTTCTTAAAAGTCCTACAGGCTTATTGACTAAGGCTAGACAGCAATTCATATGATCCTATTTGGTGCATTTTCTACCATGGTCCAAGATCATTACATGGAGACAGCCAAAGACTGAGCCCCAACTTTCAGGAAAAAAAGACCCCAAAGAAGAAGAAAATCGAGGTGGCTACTTGGTCCTCCCTCCCCTAGTTGGTAATTTGTATCTGACCGGGGAAAACAAAAGGTGGAAAATACAGACCGCAACACATTGAAGGACTTGGAACAAGTTGGCGGAGAGCGACACCGTACAGAGTAAGGTCACCGGGCGTGGGATGGCAAGGGCGCTGCACTGACAGGGCATCCGCGCGACCAAGGGCTGGAGCGTCTGGTGGTGTCACTCCCTCAGACTCTAGGGTGTCTGTATGCGGTAATAAATAGATCAGTTATGTAATAAGGCGGTGTGTTGGATATGCACTCGTCCTGTGGGTGAGCCACCACAGAGACACGATGCCACACACCTTCTTGAAGTGTTCCTGTGTTTTGTTTGCTCTGTTTGTTTTCAAGGCTATCCAGGCTAACTCTTCCCAGGATGTCCTTGGAGAGAAGAGTGGTCCGCTGAGGCTGGTTTGCTTAACCTCTCCTTTATCAAGAGATGATGACTGGCTTTAAAGAAAAATAAAGCTGAAAGTTGTCTGATTTTTATTTTTTCCCTTTTGGTTGCATCATTCTGAGTGTTTTCACATAAACAACAAAAAATCACAACCAAAAAAAACCCCAAACAAAAGTTTTTGATGCACCCAGTTATGAAGAATCATTCTCAGATTACTATCTAGGGTATTAGATGCCTTTTCTGTTCTGAGCATATCCTTCATTCTACAGGATTTTTAATTAAGTTTTGAAAATGGGTGTTGAGTACCTATAAACTATAAGTTTAGAATATTAAAGTTTGTTATTCTACTAAAGAATCATTACATTCCACCAAGTAGACTCTTCACAAACTGAAGTCTGAACAGTTCAAAGACTGCAAAAACAGCTGGGACGCTTGGTGTGTAGAATTTTGCTCCCAAATACGGTCCACACACCTGGCATGGCAGCACATGGCTGTAATCCCAGCACCCGGGAGGCTGAGGCAGGAGGGTTACTGAAAGACATAGTGAATTCAAGCCCAGCCCAAGCAGCATAGCAAGACCCTGTCTCTAAAAAGCAAACCAAAAGAAAAAAACAAAGCAAGTAAGACAGTCAATGTGGATCCCCACCCATCCCCCATAGCGATTCTGGTCAGAAGTCTCTGCCCCTTTCAGAGAAGAAAACAAACCCATCCAGATCTGGGGACACACCATCTCTAAAATATTCCTCCAAGTTTATTTCCAGAAGCCTTTTTCTCTTCCTCTCTCCGGGCTATTTGTGCAAACTCTTCTACTCAGCTGATCTAGGCACAAGCCCAACCCTTAAGCAAATTTCTCGCAACAGCCACAAAAAAATTACTTGCACCAAATATTTCTGCAGTTCAGTCACCTCGGTGCAGGCCTGCGCCCCAGGACAGGGAGGAATCCCACCCTGAGGACACCCACAGCCTCCCGCCTCTCCCCAGGCGCTCTCCCAAGTTGCTGCCAGATTGCTCCCTTTGTCTCAGAAACTTTCGGCCCACACCCTCTGCCCCTCCGAGCCTCTCCTGCGCTCCAATCTCTTAGGGTATTTTTCAGAGTAAATACATTTCCCTTTCTAAGAGGGATTTTCATGCCAACTGTTAATAAAATAGCATTCCTCTGCCCTATTGCACCCATTTTTTATATTGGAGCGGCTTCCCGTGTTAGAAAAGCCGGCCGGCGATTTCATGTACTGTAACTTTTACCAAAAATAAAATAGTTGAAAACAGAGTGGAACCACAGGGAGGAGGGCGCAGAGGCGAGGAGCTAACAAGTGGTTTTCCGCCTTTGCTCAAAGGGGGACCTTGACCCGGTGGCTCGGCACGCAGGCTTTCAAAGCCAAGCTACCTAAAAGAGCAATCCCTTTCACTTTCTAGTGGATTGCGTTTTGCTACAAACTGTACAGGGCTTCTAATACATTTCTTTCAAATCGCAGAAGATAGCCATAGGGTTTTGCGCTTTCCGGCCCTCCCCTCTTAATTTGAAGGATTGCCACACACAGGATGACATCACCAATTCCTTAGTTGCTCTACTCCGCCCCGCTTAGGTTGGGTTGTGAGAAATGCATTTATCTGGAAGCCACAGAAATCTTCTAAGTACAGGGTGGTTTACTGAAACAGCAGGAGCTAGCGCCTTCGGGATACTTTGTTTACATAACATAATGAAATCTGCTTCCTTTGAATGTGACAAGTAAATACAAGTGAAGGAAAGTCAACTGTCATTTTTTCATGGAACATTTCGTGGAAATCTGAAGTTTCACATCATTACACGTTCCTTGGCTGAGGTGATAATGGCGTGAAACTGTTTTATGGGATTGAAAGGGAGGTAATTTTACATAATTGGGGGATGTGATTATTCCAATATTTATGAGTAATTTTTCAAACCCGCTTAGAATGAATTCACCTGGTGTACACTCCCATGACCGAGACCCGTGATCCTTGCTTGACTCCTGTTTCTCCTTTCTTCTGCCTCATCGTAATCACATTTCATCATCACAGTGCTTATTAATAAAATTCAGTTCCTGCCATCTCCCTACAATTAAATGTTCCTGCAAAAGCATGGTATGACAACCTGAACGACCTCTGCAGCCAGTCTCACAGCTCCTCTCAGGCAGACATGGAGAAGTTGTACTGTTTTCTTGTCAGGGGCTCAGGTCCAACCCAGCTCCTTGCACATGCTGAGCTCACACTCTACCGCTGAGCTACAGCCCCTGCCCCAGTTTACTGTTTTTAAAGCAGTTCCCCTTAGCAAATGCTCGATTTATGAGGCCTTTCTGAGATAATAATAGAAGCTTGCCTAATTAATTTTCTGTCTGCCTGTTTGACCACTGTGAGCACCGCATTGAAAAGCAGGAAGAAACAGAAGCAACTGTTTTCTCACCAACGGGTTCAGAACTTCATCTGATTTGCAAACTGTTAATCTCATTCGCCCGGCTTCCCTAGCAGCTTCATAAAACTCAGGTGCCCAGGGAAGATGCCAGAACAACAGGATCCAATCTAGCTGGTACTTGTTCAAAAAATGAGGTGACATGTGGATGTGTGAGATATGCTTTGGAGAAATGCACCATGGATTTATTTTTAGGACAGCAGAGCCTTCAAACAATAAACCTGACACCTGACAATGCCTTCAAAGAGAACTGCTGAGTTCTCAGATTTCCAGGACTCCAGAGGGTCAATTGCAGTACACCGGGTATTGTTTAAATGCAGCCCCATTTCACTAATACTTACTAAACATCTACTCAAAAGAGAAATCCTGAAGGCCACAAGACAAGTAAAACAACCCTTTCCCTCAGGAAACATTTCTTCATGGAGGGCCGAAAGGGTGGCAGCAGTGAAAATATCTAATAAGTCCTGGGAATTTGCCACGTGTCAGTTGCTCTGCATCCGTTACTTCTACAATCTTCATGACAACCGCAAAAAGTAAGGACTGTTGCTAATCCCGATTTACAGATGAGGAAATGAGAAAAGTAAATAACGTGCAAGGCCAGAGACAGACCAGGGGTGCAGCTGAGACTCAGACTCACACGCCCCGGCACCTTAGTGAAGCACACCGGTGCTCCGGTGCTCCAACAGAACTGGGAGTCAGCCTGAGCAGAAGTGGAGAACCGAGAGCCGCTGAGCTGAGAGACGTTCTGAGAGGCCTGGAAGCCTGTGATAAGTGGCAACCCTGAGGACTTCCCTCCGCATCACACTGTCCTCTTCTGAATGTCTGCTTTGTGTTTTATTCTTGTTCTTCAACCCATCGAATCTCAGCATCATTCTCCTTATCAGTTGACTTTTATTGTTTTGCTGAGAAACTAGCCACAACCAGGGGAAAAAAAAAATACCAGGCAGTCCAAGACTGCATGAGCCAGCCTCTCCCAGCTATCTCCGTGTCCATGACCCCGGCTTCTGCTGCACTGCATGAACTCTCCGCGCTCTTACCCAGCGCTGGCCCCCACTGCACACCGGATCCAGGCTCCCTCACCTACTCAGGGAAACTCAAGACATGGCTTCAGCAAATGTCCCCTCCCCCCGGGCTTCAGCCATCATTCTCATCACCACCACCGTCTCCTGCCTCTGTCTGCTATACTGACCCTTTAAGACACCTCCACATTCCAGTCCCTCATAAGGGCAAAGCTCTGCACTACAGGACTATCCTGCAGGGTGTGCTGGCATACACCTGCATTCCAGCCTGCCTCCAGGAGGCTGAGGCAGAAGGACTGCAAATTTGAGGCCAGCCTGGGCAACTTAGTGAGAACTTGTCTCAAAATTTAAACATGAAATAAAATAGAAAGGGCTAGGGACTTAGCTCAGCCCTCCCTGGGCGAATTCCTTGGTGGACAGGGTTACTTCCCGGATGACCCTGGGTCCCTTCCTCATGCAAAAAAAAAGAAAAAAACTAAATCAGCTCATGATGCTTTGTTCAGAGCCGCCCAGCAGCTTCGTGCCTCATTCAGAACTAAATCTTTAGAACGGAGGACAAGGGACTCGCCTCCTCCTAACCTCACCTCTCCTCCTGCCACTCCTTATGGTCCAGCCACACAAACTGCCTCTCTACCCCGTGCTCCCAGGAAGCCCACTCCCCCTCCATGGACTTTGTCCTGCCCAGTCCTTTGGCCTCAAAATTTCTCTACAATCAAGTTTTTCTCAAATTTCATCTTTCAAGGGACATTATTCCCCAAAAGTTATCCCCCAAAGTTTGCTTTCTGTTACCTAGCTCTATTTTGATTCTTAGAACTTACTGCCCGCAGAGATGGATACCTGACTGCTTCAGACGCTCTGCAGAGACCTGCTGACCTGACAGAAAGGCGCCCATCGGGCGTTTCTAAGTCAGGCAAGAGCCAGGTGCTGTTTCATGAGTGCGTCACCAGAGCAGTGTCCACAGCAGGTCCGAGTGCACGAGAGCCTGCAGTCAGGGGCGGCCACTGGCGGGCAGCCACAGCTCAGACCCTCACCAGCCCATGCGCAGGGGCCGCGGAAACAGACTCCAGAAACCGGCCTGTTGGCAAACCTGTGCGGGTCACCTACTTGTACCTAAAAGAGCTGCCCATTCTTCCCATGACAGTCCTTCTATCACGTTCCCCGGGAAATGTATTTCTTTGCAAAAAAGTCAGAGACGTCAAACCTGAAATGTAATAACTCCCAAGACACTAGACAAGATATTACAGTATCTGGCTGCACTGTCTTCGGTCACATTCCCCACGGTTCCCAAGACCGGATCCCCCACGTGCCCCGCTGTGTGGGAGCAAGGCCAGGTTGTATCGTCACCGGGGCGCTAACACCCAGGTCAAAGTAGGGGCCATCTGCACGGAACTTTGTCCTGGGATCTTCCCTCCATGCCCTCATCATCTCCATGTAAAATTCTCCTAGCCAACTGGGTAAGGTCTAATTTAAATGAAATCCCTCTTTGAAGATTTCTCTGACCATATCAGCCTGTCTTTGAGCACAATATGGTTGGGGTTTCTATCTCCAAATTTGTTAACATCAAATTTAACATCACAACATGCTGGCCACTAAATATGTCACATACGTTAGGTGTTTTTTATGATACTAGAGTTTGAACCTAGGGTTTCTGCATGCTTGGCAAGCACTGTACCACCGAGCTACCTCCCCAGCCATGCACGTGATCTTAACTCCTGAACTTAACACTTTAAGAAGTCCTGTTTGACCCCTAATACTATGGCAATGAACTTGTCCTTTATCATTTATTCTAAGATGCACCCCATCCTATTGCTACATAATGGGTCTGTCCCCACGTAATCAAACACTGTCATTGGCTTTCCCCTCCCTTTGAGACAGGGTTTGAAACAGGGTCTCATTATCTAGTTTAGGCTGGCCTTGAACTCACTATGTATCCTAGGATGTCCTCAATTTCAAGGTGATTCTTCTGCCTCAGCCTCTTGTGTGCCGGAACTATAGGTGTGCGCCACCACACCCAGCTTGTAATTGTCTTTTTTAAAGATCCCACTAGTTATAAGCTAATTAAAACCACAGATGTTCTTATTCAAGGTTATAGCTCCAAATGAAAGAGCACATAACATATGAAAATGAGCAATAATAACTGAATGACTGAATAGAGCTAGCAGTGGATTATCTCTGATACAAAGGCCACATCACGCTACACTTAAACCCTGTAGCATCTAAGGATTGTCTTCCTTTTATGTAGAGATATATTTTACAACTCGGCTAAAGGTACTTCATCATACTGTCCTAACAAAATCTTTCTTGAGTTTTAATCAAAAGTACTTTCTTATTCACCTACTTTCATTCAAATATTCACCGGGCGTCTATCCTGCGCCGAAGTGAAGTAGAATGGGGACGCCGCTGAGGCAGGCAGCTGGGCTCAAAGCACAGGAAGACAGAATTTCCACACAAATATTTACACGGCAATAGATCGCCCTAAGGGTTCAGCAGGAAAGACCCATAATGGCCGATATGACTGCAGAAAGTGCCGAAAGACTCAGGTGGGAGCTCCTGGGAGGTGAGTGGCGTCACAGTGATCACGTGAGGGTCAGTCGTGGCGTGGAGGCCAGGCTCCCTTTGGTTTGGCCACGCGCGCCTCGCCTCGCTTTTCCTTTGCTGTTGCTTTGAGCCGGGTCTCACTATGTTGCCCAGGCTTATCTCAGCTGAACTTCTGAGCTCAAGTGACCCTCCTGCCTCAGCCTCTCAGGTGGTGGGGAAGGCGGGTGTGTGCTACCACACCTGGCTCAGAGCCAGGCTTTGAATCTCAGTGTCCAGCTTTAAGTCTTTAATCACTTAGCACTGTCCCTTTCGATGGGCAGCTCCTCAGTGTTTTATCCTAGCATTTTAAGCCTGAAGATACCAGCTGACTTACACACACACACACACACCCATTTCCGCGAACTAAGAAATGAAAAGCGTTATTCAAAAAAAAAAAGAGAGCCCAGCATTTCCCTGCCCCGCCCCAGCGTCATGTACCTGCCGGTTCCGAGCAGAGGGTTTGGACGGCTGGTTCATCCTGATAGTCAGATTTGCCTCTTACGCAGTTGAAGCCTGCTCCCGAGCCACCTCCTGGCAACTTCGGCAGCGAAAATGAACTCTGTGAAGCAGAAACGTTATTAGTCACGTTCTAGCCCAGAGATTTTAACTGTCCTGTGCTCCAAAATTGTCAAGATTTGATTTTTCACCATGGCCCTTGTTTGAGAGGTAAGGTTCCCAGCATCTTCAGTGTGGGTGATTTCCAAATATCAGGACTAATTACTGCATTGGTGGGAGGCCTTTGTTAACTTATTCATTTATTTATTTTTTTGAGTTAGGGTCTCACTGTGCAGTTCATGCCGGCCTGGACTCACTACGTAGGCCAGGATGGCCTCGAACTCAGGGGTGTCCTCCTGCCTCAGCCTCTCCGGTGCTGGGATTACAGGTGTGCGCCACCACGCCCGGCTATTAAATTTAATCCTCAAATAAACGTAAGGTTTTCAGAATTAGCTTAAACCCTCGTTAGATAAACGCGGTAACAGGAATCTTAGAGCTCATGCAGTTCAGGCCTCAGCCTTGACACTCAGGTCACTTCTGACTTTCAGGCCAATTCAGATGGAGAAAGGCAGGTAATTAGCTCACGCAAACAAACATACTGACACCTGATTTTACAATGAAGAGAAACAAGTTAAAGAAATGAGTCCTAGGAACAAAAAATAAATGCCAGTAAAGCCTAGGGGCAGAGTCCATAGGCCTCAGTCTCAACAACTTCCGTTTTTAACATGGGCACATTTTCTCAGATAACAGGGTCCAAACCAGGGCTGCAGCCGAACGCGTCCTGCCTTCCACACTGCTTGGCCTGCCCCCTCCCGCTTGGTTGCTCTTTAGAACAACCCAGGGGATGGTTCTTTGCAGCAGCAAAGTGTGTGGCCGCTTGGGTTCTTGCTGTACCCCAGGAAGGAACGGCAGTGAGAAAGAGGGAAAAAGAGACAAGAGACAAAGAGCTGGGATCAGGCGAAGGTCCTCGCTCCCGAGCGGAGAAGAAGACCTGCCCAAGACCAGCAGAGCATTTATTCATACTCTCGAGAGGTTGGCTGATTTCGCCTCGCTGCCCACAATCAGTTAACAAGCTGCAACGGCTCGTCCCCGTGCTCTGAGGAGCCCCTGTCCTCGGGCTGGCTTCGTCCTGCGCGTGTAACTACTCTCCAGCTTCAGCCGCTCCGACAGCCCCTGTGGGCTGCCGGTTCTTTTCTACAGAGAAGAGGAAGCGCCCAAAAGGTGCCCCTGGTCAACCCCGCCCTCCCTTTCCCAGCGCCACCTCCCGGTACCGCAAGGAGCAGACCCAGTTTGGTCAGCGTTTAGGCCTGGACTTTCACTCCCTGTGTGGCCTCGGGTGTGGTACAGTACTGAAGCTCCCTCTGCCTCAGTTTCCTGACAAATAAAACCTAGACAATACCCCATAGGACTGTCACATAGAATTTAACTAACTTTGTGTTTAAAAATTCTTGTGCCAGCGACATTGTAGCATCCAGGAAACCATAACCCTTCCACCACCCTAACTGCCTGTACTCCTGACACTTTCCCCTCTCAGACATCTCCCCCGTTTGCTGTGTGGAGAACAGTGCTCTCGGTCACAGCACCTGCTCCGGCCTCCTCCTCGCTCTCCCTCATCGGCCGCCCTGTGCTCACAGCCCCGCTGATCTGACCCCGCCGCGGCTGCCGCCCCCCGCTGCTTTTGTGCGTTTTATCTTTGATAATATTATTTACGTAATATATTTATTTAATGATATATCTAAGCAACCTACAGTTCTGTAGCCCCAGTTTATAACGCAGTCATCTGATCCTCCTCCTGTTCTTGTGAGATGGAAAGACGGGCATGGTTCTGCCTCACTTTACGTGAAGAATTGGAGGATCTGAGGGATGATGGGCTTTACCCGCAGGCACCCTGAGAGAGGCAGAGCTGGGGTGAAGCCCAGTCTCCTACCATGAGTGAGACCCCTCATGACAGATATTCGTCACACGCAAACTGTGCACCAGGCAGCATTCTAGATCTGAGGACACATCAGACGCCAAACAAAGCAGTGTCTCCTCCTCAGGGAGCTCCTATTTTAGTTACCACAGATCACAATATGCGATATAACAGCCATCACTGAATCCCTACTACCTTGATTAGTGAAACTGTATCGTTATTATTGGTTTTTATTATTTTTGACTCTCTTTAATGGTTTGATAAGTCTTGCATTCTTACATCTGGTGATCTGAGCAACTTCGTTGAAAATAACAATATGTAATGTAACAACCACTCTTAACTTCCTATCACCTTGTTTTGAAATTCTGTATTGTTTTTATTGCTTTTGTGTTGTTTTGTTTTTGTCTTGGGTGTTGTTATCTTGTTTTCTTTTCTTTTTAAAATAAAAAAAGCTTCGGTGTGAAACCTCATATCATTTTTAATGTTCTTGCTTTGTTTTGTTTGTATTTTGCTATTGTTCTTCATTTTTACTATTCTCTTTAAAATAAAAAAATCACTCAAAAAATTAAATTAAATTAAAAAATAAAACTAAATAAGTAAACTAATTACATAATACATAATTTCTGGTGCCAGAAAATTATAACTGTTATGAAAAATAATAATAATAGGCTAGACATAGTGGAGCACGCCTGGAATCCCAGCACTTCAGAAGCTGAGGCAGGAGGATCGCTGTGAATTCAAGGCCAGCCTGGGGTACTTGCTTCAGCAACACATATACTAAAAAAAAACGCCATCCTGGGCTACATAGTGAGTTCAAGGCCAGGCTGAACTACGTAGGAAGATCCCGCCTCGAAGAACAACAACAACCACATAATAATAATAACAAGTTCAGCAGATGGAAAGAATGAAAGAGCAGGCTGTTAGACAGGTGGTCAGAGAAGATGTCTCTGGAACAGGGACCTGGTCAAACTGAGGCAACGAGTCATGTGAACACTCATAGAGGAAGCATTCCAGGCAGCACTCTGGACCGCGAGGAGGGAGGCCCTGAAGCAGGGGTGTGCGTGGTATGTGCATTGAACACTAATTTCGCTGCTGATGATGAAGTGTTACTGGAAAGAAACATCCTGTGATCCCAGAACTTCTGGAGCCTGGGTGAAGCGCAACCTCGAGTGAATTCTAACACACAGTTTTACTGAGCATCTGCAACAAGCGAAAGTGTACTGCATTGCACAATGTTATTCAACCATGGAAACCTTTCCTTCAGAAGCATCTCTGGGGATTCCTATTGCACAGAACACTCTGGAAAATGCCACACCACGCCCTGCGTCCCGTGGAAAGAGGAAGCTGGGCTAAAAGCTAGAACTTCAGGCGCTCTGTGAACCGGTGGAAGACACGAAAGTGTCTCCAGGCTGTGGCTGGCCGCACCTATCCACGAGTGCCAGTGTCCAGTCCGTCCTGTTTCTCCTCAGCTCTGCGCACCTCCCCGAGGGCCCTGTTTCCTGTCTGGAGCGCTGCTGATTTCCGTGATTGAACCCCGGCTAGCTGGCTGTTGACTCTCCACAGTGGTCTCCTCTGGGGAGTGGAAACAGGGCAGGGCAGGGCAGGGCCTACAGAAATCTGCAGAGGCGGCTCCGCCCTGTTCGTGAATGGGAGACAGGGCAGAGGCGGAAGGGGGCTTGCACTGTCCCGAGCAAAGCACGGGAAGCCTCCCCTCCAGGCCTGAGCGGAAATCCAGCTCAGGCTTTGTCGCTCACGCTCTGCTCCCCAGCTGCCACGGGTATCTCTAGAAGTGACAGAGCTGTAGGCAGGTGGGGGCCTCGGCCGGAGGAAGATTGCCAGCTGTGAAGAATGCGATCGCCGCCTGACTTGGGAAGAATCCCCAAGCCTTCTGAAAGCTATGAAGCCAGGAAATGAGTGGGAAGCAGCTGGAGCGGGCCAGGCCAGGCTGAGGGCCCAGCAGCAAGCGAGAGGGGAGCGGCAGCGCGCTGACCTCAGGGAGCCCGGCATGTGGGGGCCGGTTACTCCGGAGCAGGCAGTGAGGGCTGAGCAATGTCCCTGGACGTCGCTCTGCAGGCGTGGACGGTCCCATCGGGAGAGTGCAGAAGAAGCCACCCACTGGCTTTTATACAAATTAACGACACAAATCCAGGATAATTCTGGATGTAGCTTAACCCTGCATTACGTACACGGTCGAGTATGACACTAAATGCATTATTTCTTCAGGGCTTTCAAAGGAATCCTACAGAAGAGCTGATGAAACGCTTGACCACGGACTAACAAACACGCCCCGGATAAAATTAAACTGTTTTTACTGGGACGCCTCATCTGAGGGGCTAAAAACATTATTTCAGGATTATGAACTATACACAACTAAGTCATTCTACAAACAGCAGCAGATGCCCAGTACCCTGAGCCAGAATTTGTAGGCATCTTCTCTTCACATGCTAGAAGAAATAACACTAATGATGACAAAAGTATTATAATCTTTATTAAGTGCTGACAACTTGCTCGGGCCAGACACTTTATATGCAGTATTTAAAATAGTCACCATACATCAGCATTGCCATGTGTGTCCGGTAATCTACTTGTCAACCCGACTGGACTCAGAGACTCGGGGAGCGGCCTGGGTCAGAGGGGTGACAGCTCGCTGGATTCATCCCCAGGTGCCCAGCTGAGTGTGCTGTGCGGGGCTGCGGCTCCGCTGGAGCTGGGCCCCTGGGGGCGTGGCTTGGAAGGTGCATGCCCCCACCCCCCTTCCCAGGTGCCCAGCTTCTCAGCCACCGTAAAGTGAGCTTCGGCCATGATGCTTCTGCCTTAAAGCCAGGCAACTACGGACTGAGACCCTGAAACTGTGAACCAAAACCAACCTTTCCTCCCTGAAGCTGCAGGTGTCAGGTGTTCTGTTCCAGCCACAGGGAAGCTGGTCAGTACCCTATGTCTGTTTGACAGGTGAAGAGGGGGAGGGTCCAGTGCCACGTGGTTAATTAAGCAGCTGGTCTGGGACGCACACCCCGGTCTCTTTGCCTTAAAAGGCAAACCCTGTTTTTCTTGTCACATGCTCCTGTGACATAGATAGCACCACAGGGTAACTAGAACAGGGGAGTTAAAGGGCAAGAGAACGTTACATTTCTTCCCTGTGTACCATCCTCCCACTAACGATTTATAAAATACAACCATCCTCAGTACTGCAGGGGATTGGTTCCAGGCACCCTGTGGACACACAAATCCAAGGCTTCTCAGGCTCCATATATTAAGTATTGTTTGCCTAAAAGCTGTGCATACCTTCCTCTCAACTGTCTCTAGTATTTCTACCTAATACAGTGTAAATGCTATATAGTCATTCTACTGTGACAATAAAGTCTATACATGTTTAATATAGGTGCAGGGTTTTTTCCAAATATTTTCCACCTACAGTCCATTGAATTTGTGCAGCTGCAGGCATGGAGGGTAAGCTGTGCATTTTTAATTTCTTCTTTACCAGATGCTGGTAAGATCAATATATATTTATGTGGTACTTTAAAAGAACTAGAAAGCAAATGATAGATTTTTTTTAAAAGAATTATCATTCTATGAAATAAATGGGACATAAATCTGGACTGATTCAGCTACTCTTAGACACCTCCACCAGGCTCGCTCAAACGTTGGTAGCTTCATGTTAGACACTTACGTGAAGCAGCTAGGTTAGCGCTTCGTATCTGACCTTAAAAACAATCACAGAAGCATAGTGAATAGCCTAACAGCCTCTGAGAAACTTGAGGTTCTCATTCTTCCCTATGTCTCAAACTACTCTAATTCTGAAGACCCTTTCAGCAGCATACAACAACGCAGAGCTGGGTATGGTGGAGCATGCCCGAAATACTAGCTATTTGGGAGGCTGAAACAGGAGGATCCTAAGTTCAAGGCCAGCCCAGGAAACTTAGTGAGACCCTGTCTCCACATTTAAAAATAAAAATGTCTGGGAACGTAGCTCAGTGCTTCCTGGGTTCAGTCTGCAGTACTCACACACAGAAGCAGTGCAGTAACTATCCCGTCGTGCTCTGCAAGTCTGTGTGAACTTCATGGATCCCTTTTTCTGCTCCCTCCAACATACATCGCCTTCCCAGAGCCATGTCATTCCCATTCTTAACCCAAGCTGAACTAAATCCTTTCTGTTTAATATTTTACTTTAATAAAATATTCATTTCATTCATAAGCCTACTACTATGTGCCAGCCACATATTCCCACAAAGAAATAAGAGAGAGAAATCATCTATTGCCATTG